CGGCAGGACGGGCCGATGGGCCCGCTGCGTGTGCGGCCTTGTTGGGCAGAGCGGGCACCGCGGGCCGCTCGGACGGGCCGGGCGCTGTGCGTGTTGGCTGTGCAGCAACTCTAAAGACTTCGGGTTTTCAGGGTTTTTTTCAAGTTCGGCTGAATGGTTAATAAGTTGGGTGGTTTTGTGACTGCCCATAAAGGATGAGGGAGTCAAGAATCAGTTTGTAGAACTGCACTGTTCACTGACAAAGTTGGGTGTTCAGTTCATCCTTATCAGAGGTACTTAATGTTGAACTTCAGTCACCTCTGTGTGAAGAAGAATGTGTTTTGGTCAACAGTAGCAAGTCTTGCAAGTAGAAAAATGAATTTTGCCTCTTCTCTGCTAATTGAGATAACCAGTTTCATATCAGTACCTTAATCCGACTTTTATTTGAACTTGGATTCAAATATCAGCTTTAATTTAATTTTCAGCTAGCTTCTCTTTCAGCTTGCTGAAGAATGACAAGATGCTTGATAGGGGTAGAAAGATACAACGTTCACTGTTGATAGTCCATTATGTCATGCTTAAAGCAAAAAAGAAATTATTCCTTTTGAGCATTGGCAGCAGTTGACAGGCATAACACAGTTTATGTGACTGTAGGATTTAATGTTAAGGTTGTGGTATTTTAGGATGAATGAATATGCTGATTCTGGGAATACAGGTGGATTGTTGTTTGGTTTATGCATATGTGAGTCAATTATTTATGACTTAAAATATATGTGCATCTTCACTTTTATATTGCTTGAAATAACTTCAGGTATAGATATTGATAGGCTTACTCCTACATTTATGTTTAAAATGTTAGTAAGAATTTAAAGGGAAAAATTGTGCTTTTAATTAAAGCATTTGCATGCAGTTACGTAATAGAACTTCAAAGTGGTCAAACTTTGTCTTGCTTTTGACTACCAGCTAAATTATTTTACCATCATAAGGGAAGCCCAGCTATTCTCTACAAACATTCTGGAAAACCTGTTACTAAGGGAACAAGCTTTTTTTTTTTTTCAAACTTTCCTTTGGGAAAGCAGAAGCTTTTTCTGTCTCAAAAGCTGTTGGATATGAGCCAAGACCTGGGACTCAGCAGGCTTTGTGGGGGAGTTTAGGACTTCTCCAAGAAGACAAAATGTACTGGTCTGTACTAACATAATTACTATTTAGAGCCTAAAATACAAGAAAATAATGGTGAAAATAAGACCAAGTGGTTTAAAATACACTGTTTATGTGAACTGAGTTATACAACTAACACAGTTTTGCCTGCATATGTTTTTAGGGCCAAAAATAAGTATCTGTGCTGATTTCTTAGGTGTTTGTGAGTTGAATGTTAAATTAATATTTGGGGTTTGTTTACTGGTCCTTTGCTTCATAGTTTCTGAAATGAGGGTTTTTCAGAGGTGCTCGGAACAGCCATAGTATTAAACTCTCACATTTGTGCTACTTGTGCCTGTTTGTTTGATAGAGTCATCACTGCTTTGCAGCTCTCTGAGGAGCACCAGCTCTAAGACAGGAGGAAGATCAGAACCTGCCAAGCAGCCACTTAAGAAGCCGAAATTACCAGTAGGTCGATTTGATGAACCAGAGGAGTCCAGTATAGAGAGGGAACCTCTGGAAAGTAAGTCATGTTATACAAAATTGAAAGCCATGTTTCAAAGGCAAGACCCTAAGATGCTGTGCTGATGGCAGTTGAAGAAGAGGAGCAGGCATTCAGCTTCAGAATCATTTTTCTAAGCTTAATCGTTGTGAAGAACCAGGCAGGGTGGTGGACACAAATTGCAACAAATGGTGTATGAGAGGAAAAAATCTTCAAGCTGGTCAAACATTGTAAGAAGTCACACAATTTATGATCTCTCTCTTCTTCTCTGAATTTGGTCCAGATATCTGTCAAAGATGGCTTCCAGCATAAACTGTTCCATGATTCCAAGAAACATAGCTGGTATTGGTCTGTTATAGTACAGCTGTAAATGGTGGTAACAAAATCATGAGGGCACTAACTACTTTTTGTTATCCAAAAAGCCTGTTCTGTTTTTCAGTCCATGAAAGACTTGTAGGTCTCTAGGACAAGCTTTTTTAATATATCAATAGATTACTAGGAATATCCACATGACAAAATGACTGAAAAATTACAGTATTATCTCTGAAATGGTTTCAAGCAATTTCAGATTGTGACTGACTTGAAAACTGACTTGGAATTGCTGTGTAAGCAGTAATGTAATTCTTGTCCTCCTGTTGCCATAATATGGCTTTAGATTTAGCCATACCTGTATATTTTTTACATATAACACCAGCAACAGTTTATTAGAGTGCTGACCACCCATGGTGTCCTCAGTGGTTATTAGGAAAACAAGAAAAATTTTAAGCTGCTATTGGAATTCCCACATCTGTATAGCTATCGTGGAGAAACCTTCTGAGCCTCTACATCTACTGTCAGCACATCAGTAGTGCCTGGATGTTGGGATGATATCTACAAAAGAATACTAGATGCATTTGTGGTCCTTGTATTGCCAGAGGTGCTCAAATACTGACATTTCCAATCCTGGTCTGGGTGAATTTTTAAACAGGCATCCTAATACGTCATTCTGTATTGCCTGTAGCTACATGAGTCTCCCACCATCACTGTCCTTTTTCTTCCCAGGATTTCTGTTGTTGTCTTTTCTAATTTTCAACCCTACTCCTCATTACTTCCGTTGCCCACCAGGGCTGAGCTGGGGATATGATTGAGGGGGCCCTGAGTCACGTGTATATAGGGGAGGCTCTGGAGAGTCAGCATGGCAAGGGGATGTGTGGGGTACAGTGAACTTCAGGGAGCCTGGCAGTCCAGTGAGAAAACACTAAGCCTGGGATGGTGCTATGCCAGGAACTCCTTTGTGGCTTGGGGATGCCTAGTGGGGTACCCATTGTGCCGTGACTGTTAGAGACGGCTCTGAGTAAGGGAGCACTGAGTAACGTAAGGATGTTGACTGTGAGGTGCAGGATGGTCCATGGTGTTCAAGTAGATGGCATAAGCTGGTAAGGTGCTAGGAACAGAACAAGTACACCTAACATGTAAGCTTAGCGTGTCACTAACCAGATAAAGTCCCATTCATACCTCACCACAGTTTCCCCCTTCTGAAAGGGCATCACAGTGACTTTGTGAGCTTAGGTTAAGTTTTAGAAGGTAAAAAGTCTAATTTGAGCTATTTAGGATTCTATAGCACCTCCTGTGTCTGCGGTAGCTAGTCTGGTGTTACTGAATATCAACTTGCTGTTTCTTGAAACCACACCAGCATATATGAAAACATGGTGTTTTAAATACAAGAATAATAGAATCTTGACTAAAATTCAAGCTAAAATAAAAAATGTAAATGCTTAAAATTAGAGTCCTAAACAAAGAGAAAGTGACCTGGTGTTTCAGATGTAGCAAACGTGTACAGCATACCTCAATGACACAAATTCTCACTACGAATTTATGAGAAACTATAGGACTCCAGTGCCTTTGGACATTGAGTTGCTCTTTCATTTGCGTAACTGAATATGATCTCATACATATTGGTGTCTGTAGTCACAAAACTCTGAAATTACTGTTGTATGACTCTGGGAAATGTTTAACTCAAAGGTGCCTTTAAAAACAAAAGAGCCTTTCAGGTGCCTTATAAAAACAAGATGGATTTTGTATTTGAAAATGAGACTAAAAGGCAAATATTCCTGATGGTGACATCTTTATATTTGTTAACATTATATGAATTTTAATGAACTTACCCTGTGGTTTTAGAATTCCCTGATGGCATCAATCCTGTTACAAAAGAGAGGGGTGGACCTAGAGGCCCTGAACCTACACGCTTCGGAGACTGGGAGAGAAAAGGACGTTGTATAGATTTTTAATGTATAAAAGTGTCTGTATTGCCAATAAAATATTTGTAGTTGTTGAAAAATATAATGTACAGAAAGGCTGGAACTGGCTTTGTTGTGAAGGTTCTTGTTTTTGTCATGCTTGTGGTGAATTTTCTGAGAGGTACTATGTAAATAAACATGATGGCTGCAACTCAATTTCAGGAGCTGTTATTTGCTCAGTGTGCACCCAATTTTTAATGCTATTTACACTGTGCAAGTATAAATGCAAGTATAGTGATGTGAAATTGGTAGTCAGAGCCTCACTGCAATGTGTAAGGGCTTGGAGTTCTTTATGTATTTAAATATTTATGTAGTGGCTTAAAGCTGCTGAAGGAGCTTTGCAGTTCATGAACCTAGATACCGTTCCTCAAAAGCACAGCCACCCCTGAGGAGATCAGTATTTAGCTGATGTTTGCATTTAGTATAGTGCTGTGTTGGTAAAAGCCCCCTTAATCAAGAACCACCACCCTGTGCAATCGTTAGAATGGGTTGGAATTTCTTCCCTGTTTGTGCAGAGGAGACAGACTCCATTTTACCTCATCTCAGATTGATGGCTGTAAGTGGCATGATGGACATGGAGGCTCAATTCCAAGAGGAATTGAGTGGAAGTTGTGTATGGGTGCTCTGTATGCAGTTTCAGAACACTGTTCTTTATCACCTAGCTTACGTTTTATTTGCATCATCTTTTGCCTGATAAATGGAGATGTCTGAAAACTGGTTAAGTGCTGCTTGGGGAAAAATAACATAACTTGATGATACCTTATGGTCAAGGGGGACTGATTACATTAGATGATATGATATTGCAGGTCTTTATCTGGCATTGAATTAGGTATCTTTCAGTCCGACAGAGCTCAGTTATTCATTCAAGAATTTGTCTAGTTATAAACACAGTAGTGGAATGCAAATATACCACTTGTGTGGGTACTTATTAATAGGAATCATCTGTCATTATTAAAATGAGTAAACATATGCTCTGTTCCATTTCTGTGCAATTTTTTTTGACAGCCTAAACAAATGGATCTTCTTTAGTCTTCAGCTACGTATGTTTTCTTCATCCCTTTGTGTTTCCTTCCTGATGTTTTGCTGATTTTTCAACCTCTTTTACTTTACATGCTCTGGCTTATTTATTCAGAATCTTTAGTAGCTGCTTTTGTCACAGCACCACAGTGGGCATTGAATCTCTGTAAGATCCCAGGACGGCCTACATTTCTTTTTCCTGTGTGGATATTTTTTGCCTTTTGCTACGCCAAAGTCAGATTTGCCTCATGATTTCTGTCATTTTGCATTAGTCTGGCTCTGCAAGAATGCATGGCTTTACCCAGCTTTGCCTTTTGCATGATTTTTGTTAGAGCATCAAAGCGTGTTAGTCCTGTCACAAATCTCTGTACAATCTCCCTAAAACTCACCTGACTTGTAGCCAGTGAGGAAGCTCTTATTTGGAGCCTGGCAGTGTGTGTAGCCAGAGTGCATTCTGACATAGTATCACCCTTGTTGTGAGTTAAGGTGTTTTGACTCGCTGCCACAATGCCCTACAGAAGTATTCAGTCTGATCAGTTAGGTTTATCAACCAATACCTTACTGAAGAGCAAGATGGGGTTTACTAAAGCCTGTTTTTCATAAAATAGGTTAACTAGTGGTAATTATATTTTGAACCTTCAATCTTCTGTAAACTTAAATTCTGCAGTATTGTTTGGATATTGGAAAATTGCTCTGTATTATACCAAATTCATTCCAGTTGCCCTTCTGTAGTGCAACAGCTACGTTTTCCTAAAATCTGTTGAAAGTTTCAGTTACCTATAGGCATGCTAGGACAGCTATTTTTAATATATGCTATTGATTAAAATACTTCTAGTCATGCTGTGCCTCTTCAATTGCTAGCGGGCAGGAAAATACTGCATCAGACAAGACACTAACTTTTTCAAATAGGAGGCAGAAATTTTAATCGGGAACTTTGTCTTTTCGGCATTATCAGTAGGCTTAACATCTCAAATAGTGAAGAGACATTGCTGCAGTTATTTTATATTGGCATTCTAAATCTCATTCTCCTTACCCATGGATTGTTGCACAAGTTCGTTGTCTTCTTTTACCAGGTTTTATCCTTCCTGGTTCGTGGTCCGTGAATGTTTATCTAATTCCCCTTCTTGGCATTCCTGATTCTCAATCCCAATCGCCACCTTCAGCGCAGACTGCAGCTGCAGTCCTCCCTGGCAGCAGAACTGCACCTTTCTGGCCAGCTCGTAAAGATCTGGTCTCGCTGTTCTGTGGTCTCAGTGAGGTACCCTCAGACTCTCCCTGCTTTGTGATTAAGTGCTGGCCCAAGTTCTCGCCAGGCCCCGCCTGTTTCTGTGCAGGTGACAACTGACGCTATTGGAGCCACAGGCAGTAGTTTCTGCTGCAGCTCAGGTGAGTCCTAGGTGCTCCTTGCGTGCTTCTGTGGAGCACCTGGATTTGGAAGCTGCTTCTGAGAACACTGTCCATACCAACAAGAAAAAGTGCTGCAAAAAGGCAGGGATTTTGTTTTCTTTCAAAAAATAAAAAGGCTCTTGCTAACCAACATAAACAGCTGTCAAGGAGTAGGCACAGAGGAAACAGAGGATACCACTTCAGTCTTAGGGAGCTTCAGGCCCTCTTTACCACCTCCCAGGTCAGTGTCAGTAACCACAAAGTATTTGCTTCATTTGGTGAGAGAATGTGTCAGTAAGAGATAAGAAACTGAACATCTGGGCAAAATAACACATAACAGCCAAAGAGTGAATGCCAAGGTGCCTTTCTATGTCATCTGGCATTTACCAAAAGAGGAGTCCTAGGCTCTGGTAATAATTAAATCCAAACTAACATCCTGTGGTGCTGCAAAATCCCTTGTTCAATCTGTCAAAACCAATCATGGTTTGAATGCAACAACTGATACAATGACATTGTAGGGCATAAACAATCATTTCTGGTTTGTTTTCTTGCTGTGTCTGCAGTTAGGAAAGAAGCACTTCAGCACTTTTCCAGTGCTGTCCTCCTGTTCTTCCCAGATAATTAATACTAGATTTACTGGGATACAGTATTAGGGTAAAGCTATGGCTTGTGGCAATAGTCACAGGTATATTTTTGTCACAAATACTGACTAAATTTACTTTTGTAGCTCCTCTTGTTAGCATAACACTGTAAAGCAGCAGGGTTTCTATCCATTTTCTGTTAAATTTCTGGGAGACAGAGGAAAATTGTTATGCCTGTATAAACAAATCCTTGTAATTCTGAAGGTGTTTGCTGCTGTTTCTTGTTCTCTGTACTAAAAAGCTGGATGTAGGCTTTCTTTTTTAAAGTTAAACTTTTTTTCAGCTAGCTTGTACAGATATATTTGGTATATAATTAAAATGATTAACCCTTTGTTGTTTGAAGGAATTGCTCTATAATTACTTTATTACAAAATAAATAAGGTGCACTGTACAGTTAAAATGTTTGCTGTATATTGCCTTGTTTGGAAACTGTATTTCAGTCCTGATTTTAGTAAGTTAAAATGCAAGGTTTATTATATAGTTGACTCAGAATGAAATTACCCTTTATGGCAGCAGATGTTTGTAAAGGACCATAGAATATTGTTATAAAACTTTATTACTTTTTCAGTTGACTGCAGTAAGTGATCCCCAATTCCAGTTGTCTGTAGGGATGCATGTGTTACATGTCTTTTTATGATACTTGGTTTGGTATTGTTATTTAAAAAGGACTACACCACCTTGTTCTGAAGTGTCAGGAAAACAGCAAGACTGTATTCATTTGGGAGAGAAGAGCATTTGAAAGTTCTGTGTGTTTTTTGTAATTGTCACTAACAGCATCAGGCATATCAAAGCATAGTGAAATTGTTTGAGTATTTCTATGTGTTGATGGTGGTAAAACAAAACACTTGTGGATGCTTTCATGCTTTTGAAACATGCAACATGAAAATATCTTTGCTTAGATGGTGGTTGGTTCTTCATGTCAGGCCAGCTGAAACGTGCAGTCTGCATTCTCATGTGGGTACGGCCATGCTCCCTTTCAGACCTTGGTAACTGGTGATAGGGGATAGCCATGTGTTTTCTTCCCAAGGACTGTTCTCGCAGAAAGGGAAGTACAGTAGAAATTGAGTAATAATGATAACATGAGGTTTGGGCAAATTCTGAAAAAAAATGTTCTATTTAAAACAAGTGCTGTGAAGAGTGGAACTAATGGAGTCCTGTGTGCTTTACACCTCCTGCCAGTCAGTTTCTTTCCCATTTTCCAGTGTTGATAGACTTGATCTGCACTAGGCAGGAGACAGGGCATCTTTCTGTCCATCTTTTTTCCCTATTGGAGGTATTATTTGGACCTCTTTCTTTTTCCCAGCCATGTATTTTCACAGAGCTTGCAAGAACTTAATTACCTTGGAAACTGTTCTTGATACCTTTTCAGAATAGGCTAAATCAATCACTGACTTTTAAAGCGATGGGGCAGTGCAGATACTGGTCTCCCACCCTTTGGAAACCAAGCTGATTAATAACTTTGACCATCTGTTTTTTCTCCAGAAATATGCAGCATCTCTCTGCATTTTTCTACTGTGACATGGATTTATTTTTTTTTCCCCTTAAAGAACATGGAAAGTGCCAATTAAAGCCTACAGCAGTAAGAGTTTGACAAGCATTTTCCAGGCTCTAAGTCTCCCAGTCAGCTGTAGTCTTGAACCTGTAAAAATAATATATTTTTATGTTGCCATTTTTAGGATGAGAGTATTCAAAGAAGCTTTTTAAGATTCTTATTTAACAAATTAATTTATAATAAAGCTGACATACCTGGCCATCAAAACACAGTTGTAATTTTCAGATGTTGGTCTCTAACAAAATCAGGTGATCTATGAAGTCAACTGGCAGTCAGGTTAGTTCTAGAAGCCATATACTGAACTATTATTTACACTGGCACTCTCTCCTAAATCAGCTGCTTTAAAATTATTTATCTAGCCATCTGTGCTTGCATCTTAAATAGTTGCAGTAGAG